CACAAACAGGCACAAGCCATTTACACACACAGATACAGAGGCCACACACACACACACTTTGCTGTCCCTTGCGATGCGCAGACAGCAGACAGCCCCCTGTGCGCTAGGCCGCACAGCCCAGCCTGGCCACTCACAGTGCTGGGGGCGGCTGTGGGGGTCCCCCCTGTCCTCCAGCAGCAGGCTCTGTCTCCAGGGGGAGCAGACAGGCCCTGGGGGGGCGGCGGGGTCTGTGGGGGGGTTGAGCTCCTCCATCCTGGCCAGGTCCTGCAGCCTCTCCTCCAGCAGCCGCTGCTGCCTCTTCTCCTTCCTCTTCATCTTCTTCTTCTTGTTCTTGGACACCTTCCCTGTCTGCACACAGCGTGGGGTCAGAGGGTCAGAGGGCAAAGGTCAGCGCAGGAGCAGCACTGTACAGCAGCGTCTCAGGGGCAGTATGTGAGCATGTCTGTTTCTCCACACTCATTCTCTGTATCCAGTCTCTCTCAAGCCCAGTTTAGTCTCAGCTCCATTCCCTATATCCAGCCTCAATGCCAGCTTACAGTCTCAGATCCATTCTCTGTATCCAGCCCCTCCTTTCCCTGAATGCAGTCTTTCTCAATACCAGTCTACAGTCTTGGTTCCACTCCTTACTGTAATCCAGTCTCTCTCAATCCCAGCAGGTTTAAACAGTTATTCACTACTTTCAAAGGGTACTTAAGGGTAATATAAAGTTAGCCAACAGTCCCCCTTCCAGTAGGAAAACCTATTCATTCTATCCCACCGTAGTTCAGACATTCTCCAAGTATCTTTGTGCATTAAAGGGGAGCTGCAATGCTATTTTCAAATTTTGGAGTTAGAATCGACACTGATGAGCGCATTTCAAACTGCAATAAAAGTAAAATGTACACAGTAACCAGTAAAACCTCCAATTTACATAACAAAATAGACTATATTTCCAGGTGTGCGCAGTACCACGTTCTTCGATTTAAGACTAGGCAACAAAACGTCTGGTATTGTGTGCGGCCCTATGACATTGTACACAAGCAAGCTTGTGAATAAATCTCTTTTAATCCAGAAACATTGTTTTCGATTTCGAGAGGTTTGTTAACTCTGCATGCGGTTCATGTGGAACATTTCTGTGGTGAAATGTCTGCTGCACAACCTGTGCATCACAGTACATCAGTCATCATGGTGACTTCCGAGCAGGAAGGGCCACTTCACATCACAATTCGTGGGAACTTTAATGTGAGTTTGCGACAACATGTCGACTTACAGGACTTTCACAAAGCTCAAGATTTTGTGTTTAATTCGAAATTAGTACGTTTTTTTTCTATACCATCAATTAATTTATTTTTTTACCAAGATTTAATAACCAGTCTGAGAAATTGACTGCCTAACTTAAAGGAAGGGGATTTAGCCATTTCTTTCACAAAAAGGACATGCCGGTTGCCTCTAATTCATTCAGGGAGACAAAGCAACACCCCTGAGAGACAATTAAAATGCAAACTTTACTCTGGAGACGAACTTCCACCAGCAAAACCCAAACAGAAACACACTCTTCCGCACTGTGGAAGAGTCATCACTTCTTCGCTGGAAAAGCTCCTGGGCTGCTTTCCAAATTTTTCAGAGTTCGTTTTCCAACATGCCTCCCATTACAATGCTAGAAGCACCCAACGGGTGTTCCTGAAAACCCAGTGTAACACAGCCTGTTCACTGACCTCACAGCACACAGTAGGGCATTTCTTATCCGTCTTAACCAGAAGTATCTAAAATATCCCCCAAGATTATCGTACACTACATCTCTTTCCCACTGAAAACAATGACGTTGGACATCTCTGGGTAGAAACTGGAGTTAAAAGGGCTCTGAATGGGATCAGGGATGGACTTCATCCCAGAGAAAAGCTGGTTTGGCCAAAGTCAGGATAAAGAGACATCATGGGACAAATAAACAGTCACACTACATGGGATGTCCACACTGCCACTGGGACCCTGGCAGTCCCGCCTGCATCAGCCAAGGCTCATGCTCACTATGACTTATTAAGCTCAATTACTGAGTTAGCTGATTAGCTGGGCAGGTTTCAATAAACACAAAGAAGCGTGCAGGGGGCCTGTAGCTATCCAGAACCAGGGCCGGACTCTGCTGCTTTGCACAAAATGGGTAATATGTTAAAATACTGCACAAAACATTTACCAATACTGAGTCATTTTCACTCTTTCACTAATGGTATCTCATTACCAACTGCAGCCACAATAATACACCCTTTAGTCAGAAGCTAAAGGGCAAGGGTCACAGCCAGAGCTACAAGTTGGGGTCAGGGGTCAGAGTTAACACAGAGGTCAGGACTAGGAGAGGTACCGTACACATGTGATCAGCGACTGATCTCCATGGAGACACTCGGAGACAATGCTGCGTGTTTATACAAGAACACACAGAATCTCAACATACAGAGGAAAATCTGGATTAAAGGAAGACTGGGTGAAACCAATCATAGGAATCAGATCGGAGACGCAGCTGTTGACCAAGCACAGTTGTCCTGGTCCTGGAGAGCCAGTCAGGGTGTCTGCAAGGTTTTTAGGTCTCTTAGCAGCAGCGCCTAAATCACCGGCAGAATCTGGTGAACTAGTCCCATCAAGCCAGTACTCAACTCGTTAAGAGCCCAGTTGGAATGAAAACCTGGAGGCGCACCAGGCCTCCAGGATCCGGACTGCTCATTCCGGGATCCATTTCCACAGGAGTGGTGTGGGAGGAGGGGCCTCCTAGCTCCTGTGACTGTGTACCACTGGCAGCAGCAGGTCAGTACAACTGGGAGCTCAGCCTGTGCTGAAAGAGGCTTTACAATCCCCAGTGCGACAGCGGACAGAATAACAGCCTCTGGTCGTTCCACACTGTTACTGCTATATTCCTGCACTCTGAACTCTGTTAATGCCACACCTTTTAACTGATTCAACTTCACTGTAACAGACCCTGTCCATCCACATATTTTATCAGTGAATGTTCCATAAAAAAAGCCTCAACAGTAAAATAGCGCAAGAATTTTGCCGCGCTTCAATCTGAATGACAGGAATTCAGACATTATTTCAAAGTGCCCCCCCCCCCCACAACGTCCAAGGGGGAAATGGACAATGTAGTGTGAACAACCCCAACTTAAACTGCCTGCTCCCACAGTCAGAATTATTATTAGTGTTGCTGATAAACTCTGAGTCGCAGGGGAGCCGGAGACTGTCCCAGCAAGCAACAGGATCAAGGCAGGGTACCCCCTGGACGGGACGCCAGTCCAACACGGGGCACACACAGACATGCAGACACTCACACCAGGAGGGGTTCCCTGGCCACCATTCCAAGGAAGTGAATTGGGAAGAGCGCCACCTACTGGTCCACCAACACCAATTGCAGTAGCAACTTGAAGCAAAGTATTGGTATGTCACAAAAGAGGTACTGCCTACGAATAACTAAATAGACGTTTTTTTTTTCCCCAGGAACGATGCTCTGGGAAGATTCTCATTCCTGTACCACAAACCACTGCAGATGCAAACATTTTAACATGTGCTGATCGGATACTATCCCCCCCCCCCATCCCCTCTCAACTGTCCAAGCAAAAGAGCGCCCCCACCTGGCAGGGCAGGCAGCACACACCCCCACAATGCCAAGGCCAGTCTTACCCACAGGCTGAGAGATCTGGCCATTACGGCCAGCTTCTCCAGCCAGCAGAGCTCGCTCTGGGACAGAGCACACACAGCAGGCACACGGGGGAGGGGTGGAACAGCAGCACAGGCAGAGAGAGGGGGGAAAAAAAGAGAAAAAACAATGAGGAAGAAGGAGGACTGGAAAGGTTAGGAGAGGAGAAAAGGAAGAATGAGCAGAATGGGTGGAAATTAAGCTGGTTACACCAGGGAGGGAGAGGGCGTGATGCACAGAGGACCTGCCTGGTCTTCTAGTGCTCTGCGTGGACACTGATCTGCACTGGACTGTCCACTCCTCCCCCCAGCCCACACACTGTCCACTCATGCCCTGGCCTGAACCGTCTGCT